TCTTATCTGTGGTGAATTATTCAGACATTTCTGCTTAAGGCCCCAGCCAGCGCAATTGAGAGCTTCGGTGCTTCCTAACACTCATCCAGTCGCGCTGGCTCCTCTGTGGGCCTCCTCTCAACTTGTTTTCTCTTCAAAAAAGAGTTCTTCCTGCAACGACAAGTCGGTAAGAGGTGAAGGGTTTCTGCGTGAAGGAGGGGAGCGCAGACTTTCTTCTTCAGAGAAGTGCTGTCTCATTAGGAGCACCTCTCACCCCTTTGCAACCATCAGGTGAACGCTTGCCACGGTGGCGTTTGTCCCTCTCGGTGCAGTTTGCTATGTCTGGGGGGGGGGGCTGTTTTAATGTCTCGCTTATCTTCCCCTACCTCATGCTCTACCTGGAGTAGCAGTGAATTACAGACGGGGAGGCGGGGGGAAGAGGGAGGGGGGATTTCTGAGTGCATCATGTGTCACCAGGTTTGTACAATTCTCATTGATTTTCCACTGAATAAAAGACGAGCCGGCAAAGGATGAAGGTCAGGCATTTGGGGACAGAGAGCTGCCTCTGTAAATGAGGTCATCGCTCCAGGGTACAGCCGTGCTGCGGGGGCAGGCAGCGGAGCACAGCGCATCCTCTGCACCCAGCGCGGCGCGGGATAAAGCCGGCTGCTCTGCAGCGATTGCCCGACAGCTTGGGTTCAGCCACGATGCACGCACGCTATTAGTATTTCCCATCGTCTCTCTTGCTTGCACTCTCTGGTCCACAGTGAACTGGTTTCACTGGCAGCTTTTTGCTCGGAGAGAGCTGCTCTCAGATTTTTGACTGGGACGTGACCTAGCAGTCCCTTAGCTAATGCCTCCTGCAACCGGGATGCCCGGCACCACAGTGCCGCTGCGGCCCTTCCCGCTCCTGCCTTGCTCTGAGAGACAGGAACCGCTTCTCTGACGGGTCTGAGGTGGTTTGTGGTCAACATAATGAGTCAGAAATGGCAGGAAAGGAATGCCCGTTTCAGCCTCAGCAGGAGCTGTGGGGTCCCTGCGGCCAGCCCAGGTGTGTGACCGAGCTCCGGAGGCTGTCGGGCAGAGCGGCCTGCTCCGTGTACACCAGTTGGGAGACATCCAACGGCAATGGCGCCTGGCAGAGGGTGCCGACCGCTGTGGATGCGGGCAGGCGCTGAAGCGGCGGGGTGGCAGCGGGGCTCAGGGGCCAGCAGCTGTGGAGGGACCTCACCGGAGCGCCTCTCCCAGGTTTTGCTGCGGAGAAGTGGCTTTTCCCCTTGGAAGCCGCCCTGGAGAGAGGACGGTGGAGGCTGCAGGGACTGCAGATACTGCAGCTGGGTGTTGCAGGCAGCAGCTCTGCCGTGCGGGGCTGGGCGCGGGCTGCTGCCCGC